ATCGTTATTTTCGTCTTCAGATATTTTTTTTTTGGTGATCAATCTATGTCGTTTTTTCGTCCTTGATAAATAAAATCATTGTGATGATCGTCAATAAAAATATCGAGATTAAAATATAATCACGTGTAAATCGACAAATTACATTTGAATCTTTGATTTACCGTACTTTTGTTTTAATATGTCAATATTTTTATATGCTCATCTGTATCACATCTATAGAGAGAGTAACATAAAACAAGGATTTGTTTCAACATTATACTACATAAAACCCAACAATCTCTAAATATTGCTTAATAGAATCTCATCCGTGGTAACTTGCAAACTTTTCAACTTTCACATTTTCTATGAAATCGCTTTTTTTTATTTTTTTACTACCGCTCCTCGTGGTATTTTGAGATTTCCACCATTAAAATTCCAACATATTCATATATATTTAGCATTAATTCTATGTAACGAAAGGAAATATCATTAATAATAAGTTTCATAAAATATTGGGTAGAAGATGTTTCAACCAATTGTTTTGGAGAGAGTTATTAATTTCGTTGTTTATATCGGAATACCAAATCAAATCCGAAAAAAAGAGAATACAACACCTTTTTTAACGTTATTAACTGTGTTAATAAATGTTCTACCCTTATCACACTAAATTTAATACAGCAAATTCGAAAATTCCTTTTAAACGAGGATGGCTAGGTCAAGAAAATAGGAGGTTAATGTATATATTTATAGTATTTATTTATTTTATAATTTTACTTTAATTACTTATTTCTAACTGAAATTACTGACGGATGGCAAATTTTGGTCCACGAAAGGTATTTTTACGGACCTTCTTCCCGTTATCAAATATAAATAAAAAAATTTCAAATTAAAGTAAAAAAAATTTTTTTTTATTGGTATTAATGAAAAAAAATGAAATGTGTAAACTGTGATGAAAGTATGCGGGGAATAATTTATTAAGCACGGATAGCACGGATTTACGACAACTTGTACTTATCCTTTTTAATCATGATTTAGAAAATGAATTCTTTCTCGAGCATCATTGTTTTGCTATATTATTTTTTGGGTTCCTTTTTACCTGTACCGAATTCTTTAATTAGAGAATATGGAGCAACCACGTGATTTAGTAAGGAATTATCTGTTTAATTTGGAATAGTTGTTTCGTTATCTTTTTTTTATTTAAAAAAAATCTAAAACTACAGCGGTCGGTCGGTAATGCTGATGCTAGTACAAGTTTTATCTGTTACATCATCAGACATTACTATAACGCACCTATTTATATAATAATTTATTTTGAATGTAATAATATTGGGACTCGGACGCAGGCTTTGATGTAATGTATCCAACAAAAAAAATTTCTATATACAAAAAATATTAGAAATGATTTTCCGTGTGGCTTTTAAATAATTACATCTATAAACAGATTCATTCACAAAACTTTTACTTCTTTTCCTAGGCGGTTTTTAATAATCGAAAAAGAAAAAAAGACGAAAATCTTTCAAAAGAAATTGAAAGAATCTTTTTCCGGTTTTAGATTCATTAAATACAATATTATGTTACCGTTATTATATACTGTGTTACAAACCAAAAACTTTCTCCGCCCCAATTTTTTTTTTGTCAATGAGATAAGCTTTTATCTATCCAAAAATGAAATTGATGAAAGAAATTTATCTGAGTAAACCCTGAGTCAATGAGTCATTTGAAATTATATTTAAAATGTAACACGTAACGCAATTAAATAATTTATTTCGATGTGCGACAAATGTGAAACTGATAGGGCCGATAAAGTAAATCATTATCGATTATAGAACTTTTTTTTGAAACGTAGTTCAATGTAAGGATTATTAAAAATTTTCAAATTTTACGTTTTATCCATTAAAAAAATATTATTTATAACCATTTTTTTACGCGCGATATACACATGATAATTAAGATATAGGTTTAATTTGATCCATTATTATATTGCTTTATCATTATTTCTAAAACCATAACAATACTAATGTATTTATATAATAGGATGGCGCCGCATGATATCTTATTTAGTGGAAATAATTAATTATATATCAAGTTTTTATACAGAAAGTACATACAAATTTTTTTTTTTAAAAAAAAAAATAGTGAGGAAAAAAAGAATCATCTAACATATAACCAAGATAAACCGAGTAACGGCCGTCAGCGCCCACAACCTAACAATTATCACTTCAAATAAAAATAAATTGAAAGCATATTCAATATATTCTATTTATAGAATTTAAATTCTACTTATTAAAGTATTATTCTAATTATTTATTTAATGATATATGATTATATTTTATAGTAAATAAATTAAAAATACTTTACTTTATTATAAATTTCCTCTCTAGTCATGTATTTTCGCAGGTTTTTTAAAGAGCGTAATACGCTTTTTTGCTTGAAGATTTAAAGTTGGGTTGTTAATCGGCATGCGGAAAGTGGTTCATATGATACCATAGCAGATGAATGAGATGGGTATATCGAAGATTTTAAAAATCACGTTATGGAATATTCGAGAATGATATTTTTTTGTTTAAGGAAAGGAAAAGACAAATTTTAATATCATTATCCAGCATTTGTTTTTTAACGCAAATTGTCATTGATAACGATGGATAAAATTTATTGTACTAAATAAATGAAATACTTAATATATTCAGCCGCTCGCATTTGTCATAAAGATAATTTCTCATTCAAGAATTTCCATTTCCATTTTCTTCAGTTTTCCACTTTGATAATTGAAACTGTAAGTTCAATGTTTCTAGAAACTCTTTTTTTTTAAAAAAAAAAAGTCCTGTGTCAGATTACGAAATAGTCGTCATAATGATCATAAAGCGTGTCTTAACATCATCATCAGAATGGTTAAGATCATTTTTTTTTTATCCAGAATCCTTTCTTTCATTGTACGTTAATAATTTTGTGTCACTATCTCGGAGTTCAGGAGTCTAAGATTCCGGTTCCGCTTATGCAGTGCTAATGATCTTCGGTGTAACTATCCTTTTTTTAATCAAAATGAAAACTAATATAAACTCAAATAAATTAATTAGTAAAGATTTTTATTTTTTAATTTAAAATATGATTTTCTCTTGAAGATGAATTAAATATTTTTTAATCACAGTGAAAATCCATGACTTTCGATGAAACAAAATGTTTGACTGTGCATTATAGATAGTATATAGATTGTTTTAGGGTTCCATCTTAAAAAAAAAAGAATAGGGATTAATGATTATCCCAAAATTAGATCATTAAATAGAGTTGAAAGTTGATTAATTTCTGAAATCTGGGATTTCAAAAAAAAAAAAAAAATAAAAATAACCTTATTGTAGTCTATTACTAAATAAAATTCAAATTAAATGCTTTGGCCTTGCTTTTGATACACACACTGTTCAGCAATACTTCATTTTATTAATAAGTACGGAATTGGGTAGAGCAAGTGACCCTCTTATATATAAAATGCAGAATTTGACTGTTAATTTGTAAAGTTTATAGTTATCCCAGAAACCGGATTTTCTCTTGCCTACCTCAATTCTAACCTCATTATGCTCGAATCTATTTATTTTTAGACGGTATGCTGGTATTTCAAATGCGGATAAATACTTCATTTTCTTTTCCGGAAAGACTTAAAAATTGACAAAAATTTTAATTTTTACACAAGTTTGCAACTCTTCCAGCCCCGCCTTTGCTTATATTCATCAACAATCAATTCCTCAAATAGTTGATTTTGAACATATGGAAAACCTTGAATTTAACGAATAATTATTTCGTTACGTCTTGCGTCAGATTGGTAAATTCCACTTTACAGAACTTATTAGATATTAATTTTAGTTGAATATTAATTAGTAGATATTTTATTTTTCGCCCAATTTGGAATCTTACGTCATTTTAATGTTTTTTATTAAAAAAAAAAATTTTGAAAATTAAACCTATATTTTTTTTTTTTTTAATTTTTCTCTTGCTATACTTGTAATTAATTTATCTTTACAAGATAAGAAAAATTTTTATGAGGAGAAAAGTGGATAATTTTGGATAATTTAATTATTTAATTTAAATTTTTGATGATTAGAGGACAAGGGACGAGACGGTTACTGTAGACTCAATGTAAATTTTAATATAAATAAATCTCAAAGTATTAATAAAATGCAAAAATAAAATTTTGTCTTAAAGTTACCACACGTTGCGTTCTCTCAAACCACTCAAATATGAAAAAAATTGAGTTTTTTTTTAGCGAATTCAATTGGTTATATGCGAATTCGCGCATCCGAATGTATTTTCATTCAAATGATCATTTTTAATTTTTTTTTTAATCAATCTGATCGCGCCTGTTTGCAATATTCAACGACAAAGATTAATCCCTTCTTCTTAACTACAGATGCCATTTTCTAATCTCACTGTGTAAAAGTTTCCTAACATTAAAAATAGCCGCTTTTAGGATTAATGAGCTATTAATGCGCAAGCGAGCAGAAGTGTTTATGAATGAAACTAATTTTGAATTAGTTACTCCGCGCGATATACTTGATTTCTTTCTTTTTTCTCACAGTTTGGACGCTTTTAATCTCGGGTATCTTCCTATGCAAGTAAATATATATAAAGATGGTAACACTTATTATATTGTAGCTGCTTATGTTATTTTGTAAGTTTACTTCTGTAATAACTGCATTAACAACTATTATAAAAATTATTTTATCTACGAATCTCATTTAAACTAATTTAAAAATATTATGCAAAGATTAAAGAAGGCACGGCACATACATTTAAGTTTTAAGTTACAATAACAACTTAAAAAAAAAATTTTTTTTTTTTTTTATTAATATTAGTAATTTTATTAATCTATCCAAATGCAGTTACTTCATGATAAATTCCTATAAAATGACCCATTTTTCTATCTGTATTTAATTATCTTCACATTTAATTATTATTAATTTTTAATAATTTTTACAATTTTTATACACATATATAATAACATAACATATCTCAACAATAAAAGTCATAAGAAAATGATTCGAAGAAGAATTCAACGGGCAAATCGATTTAATAGGGTAATACGTCGAAGACATCTACAAAGGCTGGCTAGACCCTTTGATAATACTGAAACTTTATATCGGATTGTGGCCCTCCCTCCTCAAGTTATCGATAATGACCCTTTGGTGGATGAATTTTTTAACGGTTCGTCCTTTTATTAAATTTCTTAATAAAAAATTGATGAATATTGGCAAATACTGTAATCAGTTAGGTAAGAAGAATTTATGTAAGATAAATAAAATTATCTTGTTTTTTTTTCGCGTTAAATAATCTAATAATCTAATAATAGTTGCTGTTACCTGTGTTACTTGTAGATCTCTATTTGTATTACAATTTACAAAATTCTGTATATATATATATAATTTATTACATGACATGTATATACTGTATAAAGGCAAATAACAAAATAGCATTCTTAAATAATTTTGTAACAGAAATTTAACTATTTATATTAATAATCAAACTATGTGTTTTTTTATTATTTTAAATGTATTACATCATCAAATAAAAACATTTTTTTTGATATTCTTTAAAAAAACTCATTTAATGAACGATTAAAAATTTTATAATTAATTATTCTCTTAAAAAAATCGTTTGATAGTTAACCACTAACTAAATTGGCATTTCGAATGCTGCGGTCAATAATAAGAAATTATTTCCATTATGACCATTTTAGCCTTTCCCAATTATAGAAAGGATATACATTCAATAATTTATTAAGATTCTGAAGGTTAAATATATAACAGGCCCAATTATACATGTACACATTGTCGGAAAATTTCTTGCTTATGAAACAATCAAAACAATTATTAAACTTAATTTATTATGAAATTAAACCTTAAAATTATGCTTAAATTTTTTGGAAATACTGTAACTTTGTAATATAAGATAAAAAAAATATCGATGTTTTCATGATCGGTTTTCAGGTCCCCAAGTAGCGTCTCCCTATTAATATTAACCTCTCAAAATTTGAATCTATTAAGTATAAATATAGCACTCCTCGAAGAATTAATATTTTAATTCCTCTAAAAATTTCATTAAATTTAAAATTTCAATTTAAAATTTTTTTTAAACGTTTTTTTACGATATAGAACATATGACTGTGTCTTGTAACCAAAGTCGAATCATTTCCCTCCCAAACTACGATATCTGAACGGAAAATCTCTGACTTTCGACCGAATCGAGTTTCTATTTCTTGAATCATTATCCCGCTTACTACGCCCCGTGATTTGGACGGGCAACCAGTTTAAGATTTTTTTAACCTTTTAAAATATTTAATTTTAACTCTGATCTAAATGTAATTTCGGGCAGAGTTAAATTTTTTTTGATTACAAAATTTCGCCAAATTTATAGTGCATGCCTGAGTTAAATTTAACCGGTCTTGAAAATTTAATACATAAATTCCTGCAGAAAGTAGGTAACAGAATTAACATCATTCCATTTTTAAAAGAACTGTGTCAGGCATTACAGATTAATATCTGCTCATCGCTTTAATAAAAAAATTTTACAATGTTATCGTTTTAAAAGAAAATGAAATTTTTTTTTGAGAGTAGTGACTATCATTAATAAAAAATTTGTTTTTGTTTGTATATTTCTTACTACATAAGTTATTTTATTTAAAATGTAATGAAGGAAGTAATATTATGATGGTAACTTCTTGTTACATATGTCTCGATAAAAATTATCTTTTAGAGAAAAGGGGAGAAAATTTGTAATGCAAGAACATATGTCTCGTTAATTTAGTCTTAATATGGTATAAAAATAAAATTCCATATGGAGTTAAGGATTGAAGTCATTCTACTAGGGACTTGAATTGTTATCAAAAACCAAAATCGAAAGTCAAATCGGCAAAAATCGATTTTTGAATGATTAATCAGCTGCTAAAAATGATTTTAATTTCTCAATTTTTATAGAACATTTATAAACTTAAAAAAATATTTAATCAAAATTTTGTATTATAATCTTTATTTATTAGAAAATAAAAACTAAAGATGTTAAAAACAAATTAATCAAATGTTTTATGTTTCACAAGTTGTGAGTTGTCACATGACTTTTTTTTAAAATAAACTTAACTTTGCTCACTTAAGGATTCAATACACAAAAATGAATTCTTCATCAAGGTTTCATACAGAATTTCTAATAATAATGAATTAATTTTTACCATTGTTTCGACTTCATCATTATTTTGAAGCTTCAAGATTTCGTCATTTAGCTTGTTGCCCATATTGTTTAAATAGTGAAAAGACATCTATCGATTTTGTGTAACCAATTTTTGCCGATTAATCGGACTAATGAACTGACTTTCGATTCGGAACCCTATGATCTACACTACAAATCGAGATATTTGTTTTTAAAAAAAGAAAACTTGTGTAACGTGATTTAAAATAATCGCTACTAATATCTGGGTATTAATCAATATTTTTAAAGCAAGCATTATTTAATAAATTAAATGTAAAATATAAGGATTTTATTCTCTTTTTAATGAACTTTTAAACATACATAATGATTAGTACTTTTACCTTTCAAGAAAAATGCGCAAAAAAATTCTTTATCCGTAGTTCTATAATAGAGATCTAATTCTATCATATCGAACAAAATTTCTCCCAAAAAAATTTGATCACGGCATTTTTCCTAAAAGTATCAATTATCGAAGTGTAAATTGTTAATTAAGATATAAAGGGTCGAAATGCATATCGTCAATATCTGACATTCGAAATGTCAAAAAGGTCAGATGAATTAGATCGTAATGGTTAATTAGGCGCAGTTTTTTTTAAAAAAAAAATAATGATATAATTCCAATTTGGTTATTATTTGTTTTGTCTTACCATAATAGGTATAAAATAAAAATCTGTACTTATTTAACCGAATAATAAAAGATGCTGTCATACAAGAAATCGACTTGAACTCAACTGCTGAATTGGCAGAAATACAGATTTAATATAACGGTATATTTTTTTACAAGAGTAAAAAATTTTCAATTCCAATTTAGGAACCACTTCTTATAAGAATTTATTGCCAGCCAAGTTAGGGTTTTGCTTTGGAGATAAAGGCTTTCACTATATAAGCCAAAAAGCAAAAATAAGATCCAGGAACTCTTTGATTCTATATGAAATTTGTGATCCCAAAAATTTTTAAGTCAATTAAAAACGAAATTATTAATATTGTATAAATAATATGAAATTTTTATGCTTATTATCGATTTAAAATATTGGTGTAAAATTTATATCGCCGATAATGAATTTATATTCCTTAATCAGCCATCAAGTAGTCTTCTGCTAAAAAAGGTAATTTATTTTCATTGAAAGTATGTAAACAATAAACTAATTAAGTTAATTAATTTATTGTTATTATTGTTATAATTTCCATTTTAACCATAAAAATCAAATTAATTTGTTAGAACCATATTTATTCTCTAAATTACGTAAATTACCTAATCAGTGCCTTATTTGTATCATAAAATATTACTCACATATATTTATTTATAGCTTAATCTTTAATGATTGAAATATTAAAAAAAACGTGTACAGTTGAACCTCATTATAATAAATTTCTATCGCTATATGAATTTCATGAATGATCCTGAATTTTATTAAATAAAATAACGAATTTTTATAATAAAACTTACTATTATGTATAACAAATTAAAAATCCTGTACAAAGTATAATAAATGGAACTTTTGTTAACGAAGTTTTTTATATAATGATTTTATATTAAATTTAAATAATATAGTAAATTTTTTCTTGTATTATTATTAAAGGAAATGTTACATTATAAATTTTAATAAAGTATAAATTAATAATTAAAATATTTGCAAGAATAATATTAAGCTAAATTTTCAGCTGTGATTTCACCTATATAGTAAAGTAAATTATAATTATTGAATGAATTTCTATAGGGATTAATTAGTGCTAAACCTCAGATTAATTAGTATTGAATCAGTAATGATTAATTAATTGATTCAATTTATTTAATTTCTATAATTCAAATTTGAAATTGCTGAAAATTTCAATTGCAAAATTGCGAAAACTGCATAAATTTAAAATTGCGAAAATTTTAATTGCAAAAAAATGTATACAATCAGATACGTAATTGCATAATATGCTATGCTTAATATGTAATATTTGTTATTAATGCTTATTTGAGATATTTTGAATAAAAAAGAACACATTTGTCAAAATAAATAGAAAAACTATAAAATAAAACAGAGGTTCATAGAAATGATAATCAAAAGTGTGATAATAAAATATATTATTTTTTCATGCAGTTTTTATTCAATTTTATTTATTCATTATGTTTAAATATTCGTTAGAAAAAGAAAAAAATTTGGATGAAATAGTATAATAATATTTTAAAATTAATAATTAATTTATTAAATAATATAATATTGCTTTAAAATTAATATTTTTCTTAAGATATATATGATTGAAATCTGATTGGATGTAGTATTTAGTATTACTATATAATAAATAAATTATTAAAATTTAGTAAGGTGTACTGGAATTTCTCATTATAATTAATTGTAACCTTCAAAAAAAAAGGTTTGTTATATTAAGACTCATATATATTCACATTTAAACAAGATGCATTTTTATGTAACATTTACTTTAAAAAAATACTCATATTATATAATATTTAATAAGCCAAAATTTCAAAAAAAAAATTTTTTAGGTTTCAAAATTCTTTTCTTAATCAATTTAATCAATATTTTCTTTATATTATATTGAAAGCTTATTTATTTGAGTTTCATTTGTGATTAAAATATAAAATTTTTATTTCGATTAATAATACAATAATAAATTATTCTCATTAAAAATATTATTAAAAATTGAGAGAATCTTGAAAAGAACCAATATTTCTGACGAATTTATTAATACAAATTGTAAAAATGTTATTTGTAAAAATGCCTAAAAATATAAGATTATTTACATATGATCACATATTATTATTCTACAAGTCAAACTTTAAATTTTTTAAAAGATACAATTCAGCTCTTATTTAATAATTTACAATTAATTTTAAATATTCTTCATCATCTCTCTTAATATGATTAGTTAATAATTGAGCTAATGCTCAAGCTTTATGATTAATTAAAATATAAATAGTGATCATTACTTGATTAACCTTTTTTTATTTTTTTATCAATTTGATTTCATTATAAATAAAAAAATAAATAGCTCGATACATTAGCTTTGGCTTCTTTTACTAATTTAACAAGTAATTTATCATTTATTGTAATAAAATAATATTCTAATATACTTATCATAAAAAGTAATATTGTAATCAATTTATGATAATGATAGTTTCATTGAATATTCATAATGCAAAAATAAAAGAGTTTGTTTAAGTGATCTCTTTTTATATTTTTTAGCTAATCAGTTTAACTCTACCAAAAAAATAGATTTTAACTACTAGTATTATTGACTTAAATGACTTATTTTTTTAGTCAATTAGATTATTTATAAACCTATTAAGGAAAACGCTAGACAAACTTTATATGATTAATTAATTTCTATATAGATCTTTTCTTAATTATCAATAAGGTGATTAATTTTGATTAGCTCAATTTTTTAAATTGAATATAATTTTTTAAATAGATTATTATTTTTTAGTTATTATATTAAATATATTAATAATAATTATTAATTATAATGTTTATTATTTGAAATTAATAAAATATAATTAATTTTTCATAAAATTATCAAGTACTATTTCAAATTAATTTGCAATTCAAAATTAAACAATATTTGATTTAGTAATTCTTTAGATTTATTATTACTTAATTGTATTTTATTTTAATCAATTTTAATTTTAAAATTTTTCTTTTATAATTCTACAAATAATAGATTTTACGAAATTTTACATACTTATCAGTTTCATTTTTAACATATTTTAAATAATATAAATACTATTAAAGTGCTATAATCTATTTATATCGTGAAGATTTCTTGCTCTGGAACCCTGTTTACGAGCTTCTTCACTGATTAAATATGCTTTTATACATGCTTCAAAACATCTTTCATTCGTATTTTGCAGATTAATTATTCCTAGTTAAGGATTGGCCCATATTTTGAGATCTACCATGAAGTGGCTAGTATGCACTTATTTCTAGAAAGATTTTTTATTGTAATCATAGATTCAGCCTGAATTTTGATTTTGTTTCATTTCATCGATTTTATCTAAGATTTTATTATATTAACATGAAACTGTTTGGTTTATTAGATCCTGGCGAATATTATCCAGAATTTCACTTAGAAATAATATATCTTGATCTAACCATTAGTTATGAAATCCTCCTACTATTACAAATGATACATATGGGCTATAAGGACTATCTTTATTTTCATACCTTCTAAATGTGCTAATTCACTTCTATTAACTTCACTGATTTAGTCTTCTACATTCTCAAATATGACTAAGAGATCTTTTCAATATAAATAAGTTTCTGAAATAAGAGTAAGATGATCGACATATAAACCTTGATCATAAATTCTTCTAGTTTCTACTAAAGATGGTACTGTAATTAAGAAGTTGCAACTCAGTAAGTTGCAACTTGGGTTGCAACTGGTTGCAACTCCTTGTAAAATTTATTTTAATATAAAAATTCATAAATAGTTGCAACTAGTTAAAAAATTTAAAATTAATTACAGCTCCATTTTTAGTTTCTACTAACCTTTTTGGAGCTAGATCTTCTATTCTTCAAAATATTATTTTGTTTTCTTCCTCAGGTTTAGTCTCATTATCAGATTCAGAATCAGATTCACCTTTATCTGGATTCTTACAGTCGCTGTCCCCCTTTAACTCTGGCTCTTCCTCTAGTTCGGAAGGTTTGGTTGACTCAAGTAATACTGGTGACGGGTCTTTCTAGCTTGGCAAAAAGTTTATGAATAGTCGTTCTAATACACCAGTGATACTACCTAGTGTTGCACGCAGTTTAAAATGTTTATTGGTTATAAACAATAGAATAGGTAAGCAGAAGGATTATATATTTAAGTATCTTTATTAATAACAAATGAAATTTAACATAAATCTATGTAAATAAGGTATTGATTCAATCTTTAGCACTCTATATGGGGCCTTTGCAATAGAAAGGGGGGAAATAGCCAAAAAAATCAAAAGTGAGTTAATGCTAAATTTGAACATATTTTAGCATAAAAATCATATTTGGCATATAAAGTAAAATTAATTTTTCCCAGCTGTTTCCCCCCTTTCTATTGCAAAGGCTCCATATGATCAGATACGTAATTTATTAATATATTTTCGTTATCATTACAAATAAAAGGAAAGGGGTATATGCTAATGTTGTCTATCGTTTTATCTAGGAATTTAAGTAATACTTGATATATTCTACTCAAGTGAAATCCTACCTCTTTTATACTTAAAACCCAGTAAGAACTAATTATTCAGAGGTCTTTTTATTCTCGAAACATAATAGCCGGATGGTATATTGGCCAGAAGACGAATTAGCCTGCAGACACTTTGGCCAGGAGACAATTGGGTATCAATCTACAAAAGTTTAACTAAATACTAATAAAACTTAAATTTAAACTAAACAGAAATAAAACACAATACCCTAGAACTAATAGAATATGATAGAATAATTATTTTTCTTTGTAACACTAGCATTCCGCTTATTTTTCCCAAAGAGTATATATGATTACATAAAAATTTAAATAAAAATTAATTTATTTGGATAATTAGAGTTACATATTTATTCAAAAGAAGAAATTAGTATAGGATTTTATAAATATCTTTATATTCTTAAAACTGGAGAGATGTGCAATAATGGGTGCTATTGGCCAGAAAGGTATAAAGTTCATTGGAATTCTCCTAGACAAATTCTGCGTTAGAATGTGAAAAATTAACTTTCTTTAATTATAGTGCCTGTAGAAATCATACTGGTAAAATTTCTGAAATTTTATATAATGCATTGCAATTTG